TAATAAAGGAGACGAAATAGAATGGTTCAGAACACAGCGTTTTGCAGGATACGAGGAATTTACGTCAAAATGTAAGATAGAGTCTATAGGAAAAAATATTTTATTACCAAGCATATAAAGGAATTTGAAATTGTTTTTCGTAAGAGAACATTTGACAGTCCATTTTGTTTTATTCTTGAGTCTGCCTTGATGAATAGGGATAAAAAATAAGAAGGGCAAGAAGTGTTCCCTTATTTTTAAATATAGAGCATGAAGCTAAATATTCGGCAACGATATGAATATGAATATCACTTGGCAAGCCACATAAATTGTGAATTAAAAAGATTATTAAAAAGCAATTTAGATATTATTGAGTGTACCTAGCATCCATTCTAAAATTGCTCTTGGATTAAGTTTAAACTCAGGCCCCAGCACAAATAACGACTACTTAAAATTATAAAACAATAAGATCCTAAGCCAAATTGAGACCTCTTTATCAGTGGATCTTATCGAACACTCTGAGGTAAATAACTGCATATGCAAAAATGCATAGTAGTAAATGAAGATGGAAAGTGATTTTCATGAACTATACTTCCGTAAGGATATAGACTCATGGTTAAACATACATTCGAAAAATACATGCTATAACCTTTAGCAGAGAATATAATGAATCATAACAGAATAGATTGGATCACGTATAGTCCCCCCGTTCTCACTCTACCAAATTTATTTCACCTTCTTTCAACAAGTTGCATGTATGTTGAAGTGCTTTGGAGAAAACACCAAAGATGTCTGCTAAAGAGAAGATGAAGAAATAACTACGATACCAGTTCATGCGCTACTAGGAATATTTTGGCCTTTATATCCTATAGCAAATTTTTCAGTATCGTTAACTTGCTTTCATATTGACTTAATGATATTGAAAGCATTACAGTAAAAAACTAAATAGTTAATGCGTCCTTTCATAAAAGGCATTTAGAAATTGATACTGATATTAACAATCAATGCAATAAATGCACATGTGGATCAAGAGAATAAAAGGTAATAGGCAGATAGGATTGAAGGAAAGCAAGGTTTAGAATAAAAATGGCCTTGGCCTATCGTTCAATGGATTTAAGCGGGCGAGAGAATGACATTATTTCCCGTTCCGAAGAGGTCCGCCCCATGACAGATGAAACCTCGGCCCAGAGTTATAGAGGTGACGGAAAGATGCGCTAAAGATCTTTCCGCACAGATACAAGAGGATCCTTCCTTATTCGATTTAGGCAAGGCCAATTTAAGAATCACTTCGCCTGTGCAATAATATGAAAGATACGAATTCATCATAAGGAATATAGTTCCAAGGATTTGAATATCTAGCATTATGGAGGCGGATATAGTTGCACTCTTAAAGCCTGATAATTATTTGTAAAATGATGACCACTAGCCAGGGAAATCATGCTTATATTTGTATTTTTAACCCTTAATCTAGATGAATGCGACTCAGAAATACTATTAACTCTAATATCTAGATCCGACATAAATTCTGAGTTGTGGAGCATCGGTTGGTACCATGTGCCACCGCATGGGCCAAAAGGTTACTGGAAATCAGCACAAAGAGATCTTGACGAAGACGATTACAGATATGGCAAAAGCTCTATCTGGCTGGCTCCCGAGGAGAGCCACACAGCCGACCTGCCGACCCTTCGGAAAGGAAGACGACTGTGCATTCGGCAACTAGATTGCCCGACGCTTGAACAACTGAGTGAAGAGAGTGCCTGGATGCGTGAGACCTTCAATACAAAGGCAGCTAAAAAACAGAGAAATTGGCTAATAGAGGAAGACGAGGCGAATATCGAGGCAAGGATAACACAATCTGGTGAAAAAGCGCGGGCAAATCTGGCCTACGCTCGCCTGCATGCGGCCAACAAGTGGAATAGCCATTTGCTGTTGAGCGACCAAGTCGGGATCAGTAGAGACATAAATAGAGACGTCTACAAACTAAACGACGCAAGAAAAAAAACTAGCAACGAGACAAAATGGCCGGAAGACGTGACAGGAATCTGGCAATGTTGGGTGGAGGGCTATAGCTCAGGTCAGTTGGCTATTGACTCATATAAAGCTGATGAACAGCTGGCAATATATCCACGCATACGGCGGACACGCTGGCTAGTCACGGAGATCCGTATAAATGCTGGATACGAGAAACCAGAGGCCGAATATTTCGACACGGATACTACTGTGCTGGTGATAATACTAATCTGCGTGCCAAGCTTGCTTTTGCAGACCAGCCTGTTAATATGCCTGCCAATCATCGCTAGCGAAAAGTGGGCTCACCTTTTACCCATTCGTGCTCCTACCTACTCGAAAAAACTAGACTGCTTCATTGGGGATACCAATCGGCCTGATAGTCTAGATGAACATAACGTCCTCAGACTGCGACTAGCTGAGAAGGGCTTTTACGAG